ATATATATATATAAAATTTACATATCATTACATTTATTTATTGTTTATTCAATATGTTTCAGATACTGTCCTTGGCGATGTAAACAAGTGAGTGCTCTCGTTTGTCACGAGCGTACACATACCAATGAACGCCCATATTCGTGCAGCGTATGCCGGCAACGTTTCAAATATCTCGGCGATAAAAACAAGCATGAACGTCGTCACGAGAGTCTCGGTGGTTCAGGTTTCAAGCGTATTGTACCCGGAAGAAATCTTAAACAGAAGAATTCGAATCCGGCGTGCGTCAATTCCGACGTCGAATCTGATCAGGACGATACCGTTAAGCGCTCGGCAAGTCAACTAGATATGCATGTTACCGAAGAGCAATTCGAGGAACAACAGGAAGGACAATATGCACATTTATCAGAAGGACAAATAGTTAAGTTTGAAGAAGTCAAGTTTGAAAATGGAGAGCAATACGAACAGGTGTATGAACAGGTAAGGCTCTTATTTAGTAGCTTTATTTTAACATTTCTGATTACTATTGTCAGCGAGGAAATGTTGAAGACAATATATGAAGTATAATTCTTATGAACAGATGAATCTTATTGATTTTTTTAAATTTCTTTTGTGAATTGATTGTTCTTCTAGGAGTATGAAGAAACTTCGAGAGAAGCATCGGAAGCTACCGAATTAATTATGAACATAGAAGATTCCAATATGTACACCGAGGAAGTTACGGCCGATAGTATAGAGTCTGGCGCAGAGATAATAACAGATGAAATTATGACGAATGATATTTTGCAATCTGGCACCGCGGTGGTGCTGCAAAGCGAAGACGACTCGGGGAAGATTCAAGTGATACCCATACCAGTGGTATTATCTCTGCCCGACTTGTCCGACGCAAACACTGAAGTTAATCTCCCAACCGCATCAATCATGTATAACAATTAAATTTAACTTCACAGATTTTTTCCTGTAAATTGAACGTATTGATAAAAGATTCAAGAATTTTTAAGTTTTTGGACCCCATTTAATCTCCTTGATTAAATATTGTGGTAAGTATATGCAATTGATATCACGACATAAAAGAACAAAAATTTTGATTTCTCGTAATTTCTATATAATTGAATTCTAATTTCTATATATATAACCATAGGAGAGAGATTCTGTTAAATTTAGAAAATATGTGGTATAACATTTCTTAAATTTGATGGAGTTTTCTAAATTTTAGTTTTCTAGATTTCAGGTTTTTCAAATTTTGTATTCTCAACTAGAAATTTTTTAAATTCTCATAGGGTTTTAATTTTTATATCTTTGGATCATTAAATAATGCAGGATACATAACAAAATTTATCAGTATTTGTTTCATAGTATTTATCAGTCAATCCGGACTTGAATAAATTTATGTATAAATACTGATATATGGGACCTACAGTTTAACGCTGAATTAAAAATCTGTTAATCATCAAACGGAACTATTTTCGATCCCTTAAACGCAAAAAATTGCGTTCTGGGCGCAAGTGGGATTGAACCAGATCTATAGATCGTGAGTCAATCACACCGAGTGGCAAGCCACTCGACGCCTCGGATAATTCCACACTATCACGAAACTAATGTCAGTGAAGACATTATTTCTAGGCATTTCTTCTTATTCTTCCTTACGTTTGGCCTCAAGCCTGTGTTACATCTCTCTCATATGCTTATGGTGTATATGCTAATTATTTAATTGCCACAAGCATATGGGACTTATTTTTAATGCTGGTTTCGAACGGCAGATTTTTCGAGAAGTGTTTCTGTGGGCGAAGACTCCCACAGAAGAGATTTTCCGGCCTTTTTCGAGAGGAGATACGAGCGTAAATATTTTGGTTCCTATCAAGATCGAATTCGAGATCTTTAATGATAGACCAATGCGCTGTCTACCACGCTCGCGCTCCTCTCGCTTCAAATAAAAATAAATAGGATAACAGGATCTTAATAATCATCCGCGTTCTATGTCAACAGAGTCACTGCGAAATATTAACAGACGCAAACTCTGCTTTACTTAGCTATATTTACAGCGTTTTTCCTTTATTTCAAACTTTGAATGCATTTGTCATTAATTTATTTCAAATACAGGACATACAGTTAAAAAGAATAGTTCTAATAGTAAGATTTAAATATTTTTACTACGCGTTCTTGTACTTGTTTTCCTTGCCCAAATTTCGAATTTTTTAAAATCTATCTCTGCATATATTATAGAAATTATTTATTCACTTAAACTCAGAAAATGTAACATAATACAGCTTAAAAAACAAACCGCTTTTTAGTACGTACTTTGCTAATGCTTATTATATTTTACAAAGATAGTTAAAGAGTGACGAACTCAGTTTATATATATTAAGTCTTAAATAAGATGTAAAGTATTATAAGGAAATGCATATTTTTTAATGTCACTGATTATTCTAACGTTCTTTCTTCAGAATAAAAATTGATTTCTAAATAAAACAACGATATATAAATCGATATATCTAATTTTACGAGAAAAAAATTTGCACTTTTATACATAATATGCATTTGCAAGTATAAAAATTGAAGAGGAAAAAAGAGAAGTTAAATATAGTGATGGATGTGTGTATATATATATATATTTTTTTTAAGAGAAGGAAGGTGATTATATATTAATAAAATTAATGTAAGAGGCACTCATAAGATTAGAGAAATTGTTTTAAAAATAAGTAGGCGTACATAATGTGTAACTAATTAACTTTTATGTTAATATAATTATTTATAACAAAATGATAAATTTTACAGCTGAAAGAAAATTAAAAAGACATCGGTACATATATATATATATTTGTATGCCGACGTTCTTTTGGCATTCCAATTTGAAATTAAATATATACGTCACTACTCGTTAAAGCGTAATTATTTGCTGCAGCTATGGATGACATAGCAATCAAGTTATCTCAATTTTTTTCTCTGCATTATTACATTCAAACAAATCAGTATTTCTCAATTCGACAAAATATATATATATATATGAAATATACGCAGAAGACTTTCTTTCAGATTTATAGTTGTAAATAGAAACAGCCGTAAATCGTGAATTATTTATAATCGTAATTATTTTACAGTCGTATAACAATATTGTGTAATCTTGCAACGAAATATCTTTTTAATGTTAGGAATTGAAATTTCAAATATCTAGATTTAGTCATAGGAACTTATGCATTTTTCTTCACTTTAAAAATCTATAAATTTTTTATTTTTTAAATTCTTTAACCGCTGCAGCAGAAATTATACTGCAAAATATGTAAAAAAAAATTCAAGGAATATAAAAACATGATCAATATTTTATAATAACAAAATTAAGCAATAATATGGAAATACATAAAAAAAATTTTTTAATTTATAAATCATTCTGAAGAACATATAAAGATTTGATTGTATAAATATATTCAGTTTTGTCATTAATTAAAGAGTTTAAAATTATTTCAATTATAATTATTAACAAGATATAAGATAGACAAAAAATAACGTACACAAGCGTGATAGGAATACTATTTAAACAATATCTTTTTATAAGAAACACTATTATATATATATTTTATATATATATTTTTTTTATTATATACATTTATTCTCTATGTATTTATATAGAAAATATCAGACTCTTCGTACTTCATTTGTATAAAATAAAATTTTATATACAATAGAGGATTATTGTGAATATGCCGGATGATGCATCCGAAAGAATACACTTCGTACAGCACAAAAAGATTGCAAAAACACTATAGAAATATTTCATTGCAAGATTGCAATATTATGTATAATGCAGTTGCGTAGTCTGTTAACTAGTTGACTAAAAAATCGTAACGTTATATAGAATTTAGAAATGTCTGCCTGTCAAGGTAATATAAAATGTATCACGCAAGGCATAATTTCGGTACGATGCACATATATTAATGACAGTGTTATAAATATCTTATGATATATTATACATTCGTTATGTTAGTAATTTAAACGGATAAACTTGAAAAAAAAAGTAGAGATTCAACGTCAGATAAAAAAATCATGTCTTTTTTATATACCTTCTAATATAAAAATAAATTTAATAAAAGTAGCAATGTAACCGTAAATATTATTATATAATAAATAATCAAATATAGTCACAATTGCAGTATATGTCATCATAGTATATGTATATTGAGAATTTAAGTTATGGAAAAATTATTTGGAATTAATCAGAAAAGTACATACATTTATTAGATAAGTAAATGCATATGATTTTATTTTAGTTATGTCAATGGCTATCATTGTATTTGTTAGTGCATAAGATTTTTTTCAGTACCGCATGTAATTGCTTCTTAATAAATCAGAATTGGACTTAACAATTTTTTTTGTTGCCACAATTGCTATGGATCTTGTAATTTTGCAATGTTTCTTTTTACAATGTTTTCACAAAATTGCAACGTGTTATAATGTAGCTAAAGATTCTGTGCTGCATGAAATTCAAATGTATAACGTTTGACATAAAGTTTATAAGTAAAGTTTATTTAAATTTCAATGTAACTTATACATTTATTTGAATTAATATCTCTAAGTCTTCAAAGTATCTATGAAGTTTTTCTGAGCTTATGCTTATTCCAATGATTGAATGTATCTATTTTTGAAAATTCTTCCTAAGTAGAATCGGAATGTTCTTCTCGTCTTGAGAAAAGATGAAATTCTTTTATCTATCATTGTTTTATTGTTGATCGCGAAAGAATTGTATTTCAAATTCATGCCGATTCCGTTATAAAGAAGTTATATATAAAAATATCTAAGTCCAAAAGTAACATAAATATTTTGATTGATAAAATATTCAATATACATTTCGCTAAGAATGCTATATGCGCATTAGGTATTTCATCAATTACAATATTTATATCATATTTTTGTTATTAAAAAATTTGAGACCTTTAACATGCACTTGTAGAGAATAATGCACGTTCAAATTCCATTGATTTTCAACGAATAGTCTGATATTAGTTTTAAAATAAAATAATATATTAATGCTCTGATAAACATGAATCAGATAAACGAATTGTATCTGCCTAAATATAACTTAGTTTTATAACCGTGATTTTCTTTACAAAAAAAAAAACGATCTTTGTACAAGCTATTCTGAATTAACCGCACTATCTTTTTTTTTTAATCTGAGTTTATTTTTTAAGTTACTTCTGAAATGATTTTTCAAATTTCTCAAATCTTTGATAGAGAGGAAAGGATACTTCTTTCTTTTTTTCTCTCATATTTTCTTAAATATGTCAGTAGCTAAACTTCAAATTAAGGTTCGTCAAAATTCATTAAAAATCGTCTGAAGATCAAACTTTTAACACTCATTAGAGTTCAAATTTTAATTTTTGTCTAAATTTTGATAGTATTGTACAAGTACTTGCCATGCTTTAGGTGCCATGAAACCATCCGGAGGATTCTGGCCTGTCTCTGCTAATCCTGTAAATAAAATAATTAATGTTGAATCATACGTACAAAATTTCGAATTTCAAAAGTTTCAATATTATATACAATTTTTCAATTTTTTAAAACATCTTGGAAAAAAAATATAACAAAAACATATTGAGATAATTTGTAGGATAAATTCTATAATGTTTAATCATATGAAACAAAGATGAAGATCAGGCGTAAAATTTATTATTTTAATTTTCTGTTTTATCTTTGTTTTTACCTTGCTGTACCTTGTGTTTATCTTTGTTTTTATATTATTTTATTATTAATGTGTGTCTGTTTTGCTTAATTTTGCTTTTACCTTTCACTAATCATTTTACTTATATTGTTCATATATATTTTATAGAATATTAAAACTTATATATTCTAGAATATATCATAATCAAAAACTCACCTCGCATCTTTGTTCCCGAAATAAACTCAAAATCTTGCTTTCGTTCAGGTTCGAAGAACGTCATCTTACCATTCCGTGTATCATAAGCAGCCACTTTAAATGGAATGATCTCGAGGTTATGAAGACCTCGGGCCATGGAGAGTACTCTGGCGCCATGAGTGGGATCATACAAATTGCCGTCAGGCGTGGCATCTTTGTTTGGGTGTGGTATACCCGCAGGATCCCTACCTACGATGTAAAAATTGGCGCCAGCATTCATCCTAGCCTTTGCGTGCCATTGCACCTGCATAAAAACAATTGTGTTTATCTCATTTATGTTATCATAGTAAGTACAGTAAAAGACGGGATTACAACAGAAACAAAGTCAAAATTTTGTTAGCAAAACGGCTGAACTTAAAAGTCAAATTACAACTAAAATTAAGGCTTGTTAAGTTAGTTACAATTTTCACCTCAATTGGTCCAGCATACATCATCGGGCTGGGAAAGATGGCTAGTAACGTAGAATTAGCATCCAGCACACCTTCGTCTAGAACTGCTTTATGCTGCAGGATCCTGGTGTATAAGGATACATCGTCTTCTTTCGTCCAGCCTCCTAGCGGATGTAGCAGCAGCACAGGATTTTTAAAACCACGCTCCTCCAACAACAGTCTTTTTGTATCCTTATGCGATAAACAAAATGATTTTCATTCATATTGTTATGGAGGAAAACGGTTTGCTTTGAACAGGTGACATACCTGCATAAGAAGCGCATGACCATTGTGAATGGGGTTTCTTAACTGGAAAGCAAATACTGCGTCAGCTTTCATTTTTCGACATCTGGCACGTATCTCATTTGGCGTGAGTCTGTATTTGTCGAGTCCGTCATGCCATTTGATCCTCTCCAACACTTCGAGGTCGCCACCCATCAACCAGTCGCCGGAATCATAAATCATCCTGACATAGGGATGACCTAAGTTGTTAGTGCCAAACTGCCAACTGCAACGCTCCTCTTTTCGATGGAAATAAAATTCCGGTCTTCGTAGAATGGCCAAAACTTTCTGTTTGTGCCTCAAGGTCACAGCAAGAGAATTTTCCAAACGGTTCTTATCAATCGTGCTTATTGCAAGGACAATTGGCACCGATTGGTTCACTTCTTTGCCATCTTCGAGCAAACATCGTAAGTGTTGAGTCTTAAAGAAGAGAAATTATGATGATCCAATGATTGATAGATAAAATCGTATCATTAATTTTCAAGTAATACATCATATGCAGGATGCAATCATGTTTCAAGGTTGCTTAAAGCATACCTGAAGGTATTGATGTTCCCTCATAAAACCTGTTAATGGTGTCGCCCATCCTTCTGCTAAAACTTGTAGCCATTGCACGTCGAGTTCATTAATCTCCACGCATTGTAGAGTTTCTGCTTCCATTTTCATAGAAGCTAGCTTAGAATCCGGAACAAAGAGCTCCTTGATCAGATCTGATGGTTTTATAAACGGCGGAATGATGCGGTGCATCTTTAAAAGCTCAATTACAGTCGAAGCAGACTCCTCAGGAGTGCAATTCTCGGTCTTTACAATTAAATCAGGTTTCGTGGGTCTCTCGTACATTTGATCGATGCCGGTGAAACCTTTAATGGTACCCTGCCGCGCTTTCTTGTAAAGGCCTTTAGTGTCGCGAGCTTCACAAATTTGCAAGGGTGTATCTACAAATATCTCGAAGAAGGGCAAGTCAGCTTCTTTATGAATCTGCCTTGCCATCTGTCTATCTTCTTCAAAAGGTGACACGAAGCTGCAGAGACATATTTGTCCGCTGTCGGCGAAAAGTTTTGCTACTTCAGCCACTCTTCTAATATTTTCTTTTCTATCTTGCTTACTAAAGGTTAGATTGCGATTTAGACCACTCCTAACATTGTCGCCATCTAGACCATAGGCAGGAATACCATGATTCACCAAAATCGCTTCCATTTGAAACGAGATGGAAGTCTTGCCAGCACCAGAGAGACCAGTTAGCCATACTGTGCAACCTCGAAAACCACGAATACTGCCTATAGCTTGTCCCCGTTTAGCTCTGGATACATGATGCGCTTGCTCCGACACGTTTGCGCAGATCTAAAAAAATTTTCAAAATTTTACATAATATATTTAAATTCAAACGTTTTCACAATTTTATTATTTGGAAATAATTTGCTGAAGAAACAGAATATAATTTGAAATTTCAAAAGATTTAATGTGTTTATTGTATTTTTTTCAAGAAAGAACTATCTCATTTCAGACTGAAGAAGTTTAAGTCGTGAAATATTATCACTTCTCAACTTGATATTTTTTGATGGACATGTTAAATTCATATAATTACAGATTTCCATATTAATTTTTTGAATGATTATAATTCTTTTTAGTATAAGTGTCTGAAATTTGTGCTAACAATCGTTTCTGTAATATTACATGTATTTTTACAGTTAAATAAATATTTATCTGAATATTTATTTTATCTATACTCATGGATATGAATCAATTTCAAAGAAAATTATTCAAAAAGGGAGGACAAGTATAATTACAATTTCAACTGAATCTTCGAAAATGAAACTTTCCATAAAAGGTTCGATTCCATGTTTTAGACAACATAGATTTCTTCATAATAAATCAATTTCTCTTCCAGTGTCATCCATATTGAATTATCCTATATAAAATAAGACATTAAGTCTTTCAACAAATAAGCAAAATGTTTTTTTTTCAAATTTAATTTTGTACCATGGTTAAACAATAAAATATTTAAATCTAAAATATGCTTGTTCCTACTTATATCTGTATTCTTGTATTTTTTGTATTTAAGATAAATACAAAATATATACATACATACATATATTTTGAAGAAAAAGATGAAAAAAAGATAATAAAAAATAAATTTGATACACGATATACAGCAGATATCAAGCTAAAGAGAATTATATATGTAATCCATACGAAACAAATATAAACCTTATTTTATAAGTTTTATTATATTATTTTAATTTCATCATGCTGTACGAGGCGAAGGAAGCGATATTGCATAAAATAATCGTACCATCAGCTTTTTATTTGGTGGTGGTGAGATACTCTGCTCGGCATTACTCGACATGATTGTAGCTACTGGCAGTTACAAGTTTACGAGCATATACGTGGCAATTGTGTTAAATGCGACCGAAGGCGACAAGTACGATAACGGATGATGCTTTGTAATTCCATGTTGATAATCACTGACGTCGATTGCATCACGTTGCGATTCACTAAGCTATCTTCGTCTTCTTCATCCTTGATTCGCCCCGATTCTGTCATCGGAGTCGATTAACCAGATATAAAATTCATTAAATTGTATTATACCGCATCGATAATGCTACGAAAGTAGCGCAAAGGTATTAACCATATCGAAACCTGAGTCAAAAAAGGTGAGAATGAGATCATTCATCATTGTATGGGCGTCGCCATATTGAAAATTAGACCTTAGATACTAGCACTATCTGAACTTAAGGAACAAAACTACTTAATATACAGGGTTGTTGCCAGATCTTTCCGTCGAATATGGCCAACCCTGTATATGAATCACTGGTGAATTGAGACAACTTTTAATTAATATTTTTAATAATTTCTACACTTTTTGATTTGCTATATTTTTTTTACAAATGATGCAAGGCGATTTCATCATTTTTATATTTAAACTTATTAATTGTTAGAAACTACACTCTAATAAAATCTTTTACCGACGGTAGGGGAGAAGAGAATGTAATGCCTCCTAAGTTCAGAGGTGCTAGTATCTATTCCCAATATGGCGCAGGCCATATGATAATTGATAACATCGCCGGAATGATTGCTCTCAAGCTATTTTCTTTAGGTTAGGATTTCTTATTTTTAATCTTATTATTTTGTAATTACTATTTTGTTATTAATCTTTGTATGTAAATATTTGACATATACAGTGCATTATTGTCGTTATTAACATGCGACTGTCAACTTGATTTAATTTTTTCTTATTAGATTCTGCGGTCTCTATAATTACTTGTTCCTAATAAGAGATTCTATCAAGTGCTATTTCGTGCTCGTTTCTCAGTGTGATATAATTGAGTTGTAAAATATTTGCAAATATGTTGCCCTTACACATATTATCAAAGTAAGTACATTTGCATTATATTGAAATTAATAGATAGTTGAAAATGTTGTGTATTTAAGATGTCTGTCGAGAAAGTTTTTCTATGGCTTAATGTGTAGACTTTTTATTATAATAAGCATATAATAATGAAATATTGTGTAATTAAATATGATTATATATCTTCAAGAGTAAGTCGTATAGTATACTTTTCAATTTATATTTTATCTACATAGTTTATCCCTCTCTCTCTCATTTAAAATTTTATAATTAAATTAGATCTTTATTTTTTTATACACATACATGCAGTTATGCTGTATAAAGTGATTTATTATATTATTATTGATTTATATTTTTATTAGACTTGTATTGTTGTGTATGAAATACTATCTATTAATTTATAATTTTTATTATTATATCAAGAAATATATTTCACAGATGTAATATAAGATCCTCAAGCGGAATATTATTTCAATGGATAAATATTTCCACAAGATTCTCTTCATCTTCATCATCATCAGATTCATCAGATTCTGATTCTGATTCAGAAAAAACAAAACCAAAGGCAACGCATATTAAAAGTGCAAGTTCTGCAAATGCAACATCAGACAATAAATATGATTTGGAAAACTTCTTGAATAACATGATACAAGTAAATTATGAGATTTTTGTGTAATGATATCTAATTAAATTTAAATTCTGTTAAATCCAGAACATATTATTTCTCTATTAGGAATCTCTATTATTTTATTCTATTTTTAGTAAACCATACAGAGATACTAACAATAAAAGTTTTTACTTTAAAAAAATAATAAAAACATTTTCTTTTTTTTTTAAATGTTCTAATATTTAAAAATAATTTTTTTTAATTATTGCATTTAAGAACACAGAAATCAAATTGAGTATTTAAATAATAATTATGCTAAATTGTGTTTTAAAGTAAAATGTTGATACATTTAAAAGTAATATATAATGAGATATTTTTCAGAGACAAATGTAAGCTAGTATATACTTTAATGAAGATATCTGTTATTACTTTTTTAGACGAGAAAGACGCAGAAAAGTATTGATGTTGCCATGCAGCCTAAAAAGAAGAAGGATAAATCAAATAAAAAACCTGAACCTTTTGGTAACTTTATCTATTGATAATTCTATCTTTGTGCAGGTTTGTTCACGTCTTGCTTAATGTGTTAAATTTTTTTTTGTAGAAAAGAAAATAGTAAGTGCGGCAGAAGATGTGGCTAACGTGCTTGGTGGAGATAAAGCCAAAACAACATCAGACTTGCTTGAAAAAGTTCTTGCATCTAGAGTAACAGCATTGAAAGAAGAACAGGAAAGCATGTATGTAGATATATTGTTGCATCACTAAGTACAATAAATTATATATATTCCATATAATAATATGTATGTTTACACATATACTATTACTTGTAATTCTATAATTTTTAAAAATATTTTTAAAAATATTTTTAAAAATATTTTTATGATATAATTTTGTATATGTGTAAACATACATATTATTATATGGAATATATATAATTTATTGTACTTATAAGGTATTATTTATTATATTACATTATAATCTAACATATTTAGATATTTTAATATATTTTAAATATTATATATTTAACGCATAATTTTTAATTGATTATTATATAATAGATCCAAAGATATCGATTTGTGGAATGGAAAGCCTAGTGACATTTTTGAAAATGTGAATGCTGCTTTACCAAATATACCGGAACTGAAAACATGGGCAGCATTAGAACAAAGAGAATTAAAAACATTGACAACTTATCCACCTGCCAATATTTTTCAAGAACTAATTCTTTGGACGGAGCAAGGAAAATTATGGAATTTCCCTATTGACAATGAGCAAGGTTTCTACTACACGTGCTTATATATTATGTTCTTCTTCTGGCACTTGGAAAAACTGAATTTAATTATTTCTATATATTTCAGGAATGGAAGAAGAGCACAATGTTCATTTCTCAGAACATGTCTTTATGGAACGTCATCTGAAGGAATGGTGTCCTAAATCAGGACCAATTCGTCATTTTATGGAATTAGTGTGTACTGGACTTTCAAAGAATCCATACTTGACAGTTCAAGAGAAAATTAAACATATTATGTGGTATAAAGAATATTTTGAATCTAAACAAGACTTGTTGCAAGAAGTAGGAGTAATTCAGCAGCCAATCTCTGACAAAATAAAAGAAATTACAGAATAAAATAACATACGTTAGTGTATTCTACAATTTTAATGTATTTCTTATTTTTAAATTTCTCCTTTTACATTCCCATTCATAAATATATTATAAACATAATACATATATTATAAATAGTCAAGTAGATCAAGGATAAATTATTAAATTACTAAGAATTATTTAAATATATAATATTATTTTTATTATGTACAATATACAATTTTATTGACATGCAAAAAAGTTTAACTTTAAATTATAAATATGGATCCTCATAATCTTCAATTAGTAAGTTTTTATCTACAGATAATTTCACTTGTATACCATCAGTCACAGGATTCATTGATAATATAACAATTCTATTTATAACTAGCAATCCAGGATTATCCACATTTTGATGTAAAATTAAATCGATTTCATCTCCTATTTTCATCTGTTACAATTATTACATATATAATTGTACAAGATATAAAGATAATAATAATTTTTTCTAAACTATATCAATAAGTTCCAGCTTTATTACAAAAATAATAAACTTACCTCTTTAGCTTTCTTTAATATTTTATTTCTATTTATACGAATCTTGCTTGCATAAAAGGCCTCATTAATTTTACTAAGAAAAATGTGAAGTAAATAAGATTTAAATAAAAATATAAAATAAAAATATAATATGGAGTAATATGTTATATTTGTGCAAATATAGTAAAATTAGACATACACAAAGTAAAATTAAACATACTTGCGAGAAATTCCAAATCCAGCTTTGGAAATGGTATCTAATCGAATAGAAGGTATCTTTGCTTTGATAACTTTTGAACCTATGGGAGCTTCTTCCTCATCGTCTTTCTCCTCATCAGAATCTTCATTCTCATCTTTCTTCTGTAATATATTTTCAAAGAGAATATATTCATCTGTGTTTAAAAGCTTACCAGAGGGACAAATAAGTAGAAGATAATTAAATAGGTCATATTAAAGAAAATAAATTAAATAAATTAAATAAATTATATTAATTACAATATTAGCAGCCTTCTTTTTGGATTTGAATCTTTTTACTATGTACAAGTGACAATGATTTTGTACACTATTTGATTTTGTATCGCCATTACACAAGAGATTTGATTGTAAGGGATCTCGTAGGCGACAAAATGTACGCGCATTGTAACACACCAATCTCCTAATAACATTAACTGTCATTTTGGATAACATAATCCAATCTTCATGAACTTATCCAATCACAATTCGGAATGTCTACTTATTGGTTAGATAACCTTTCACAAGGGAGCGAACGTTCGTAACTGTATCGAGTTCTTTTCCTGTCGTATATGTATTAAAAAATGCACAATATGGACGTTTTTAGTTATAAAATATTATAAACATTAATTATTCCTTAATTATCTCAACTTTTAAGATTAATCGCTAATAGACTCATTCTTCCTCTTTTTCTCTCCAATGTCTAAGTATATATATCTATCTTATTTTGAGTGCAGAATGCGCGACGCAATGTAATTATAAAAAATAATATAATTATAAAGATCTATCACTGCATCCGTCAGCGAGATATTATTATATCTCGGAGATTTCTAAATAAGAGAGCAATTCGTGACGAAAATAAAAATCGGAGCATAAAAGTCGAATGTAGAGAAAAGTAACAATAAAATCGTAAACGAAGTTTCTAGAAAACGAAATGTAAGAGGCATTTAAATAAATTTTTTTACATTTCAATCCCAATTTTCGTCTTCTAGAAGCTTCCATCATTTCAATTCCAATTTTTGTTTTCTAGAAACTTCCATCATTCAATCTCTTTTAATCAGTTTAGTATAGTATAGTCTAAGAAAAATGGACGAATCCAACGATTTGGAAATTGCGGGATTTGTGTCGTAACATCCGTGAAATTGGACAAGCCGGAAGTGTACAATTCTCGAGTCAAGTTTGTTGTTAATCGAAATTTTTCGTAAATTTTTCCTCTTTACGTGCTCATTTTTTTCCACCGATCTGTTAATCGAAAATTACGAAAGTATTTATCATTTAGATATCAAAACTGAAGAAACGAACAGTTTCATTTTAGGCTGACATCCCACAGTCCGCAATCGACCATCTTAGTAACAACTCTACGGCATTCTGCCACAACGGCCACAACTCGCAAAGATCTTCGAAGCGTTGCATCGCATTGTCACTTTTCGTCGAATTATTTGTCGTGTATTTCGTCGAATTATTTTCTTCGTTGTTGAGAAAAATCCTGCTAGAGCATCATGCCAAAGAATAAAGGTAAGTACAATCTTGATTCTATCCCGCGTCTTGAATTCTCGATTTTTCAATTATCACGTTTTGTCCCACTAATGTGGTTAAGTTTGTAACTTAACCTAATTCGCGTCAACGTCATCCTCGAGGCGACTCGAATCTCAATTTTCATCTTTTTACATGACTCGCTGAGAACATTATCACGCAAGCTATGCTTTGTTCGCAGGAAAGGGAGGTAAAAATAGGAGAAGAGGAAAGAATGAGAACGAAACTGAAAAGAGAGAGCTGGTGTTCAAGGAAGATGGACAAGGTGAGAGTGAAATATGGTGCGAATGACGCGACATCCTTTTCGGGAACGAATGTTGGTTATTTACTCGATGTTTGTTTTGTGCAGAATACGCTCAAGTGACAAAAATGCTGGGCAACGGTAGGTTAGAGGCCATGTGTTTCGATGGGGTCAAACGATTATGCCACATCCGAGGCAAGCTGCGGAAGAAGGTTTGGATTAATCAAGGAGACATCATACTGATCGGACTGCGAGACTACCAAGATGCTAAGGCAGATGTTATATTGAAGTACACGTCCGATGAAGCACGTAACTTGAAGACTTACGGCGAATTCCCAGAAACTGGTAAGTAGTATTTTAGTACATTTTGCAATGGAAATTGTGAAATGTGCTAATTTAATAGAACACCTTTCCCAATTTTTGATTAAATTCTTAATCTTATAAATTATCTTACAAGTTGTGAAACAAAATTTTTTTTATCCAAAAAAATTTCTATTTTATATACTTTCTAACATAAAATGTTTTCTTAGTGCGTATCAATGATACAGTAACCTTCGTGGAAGATGGATTCGATGAAGACATTGAATTTGGGGATGAAATTAGCGATGATGATGAAGATGATGTTGACAATGTAAGTTTTTATATATTTTTTAAAATTGTATATATATTCTATCTATTTTTCATATTATAATTTTTTTTAGCTTTTCTACACTTGTTTTATATGCAATAGCAATTAAAAAGCTTAGCTTATATTTTTCTCTATTTTTTATTTAGTTTACTTTAGTATAAGCAATAAACTGAATAGTGCTACATTCAGCATGTGATATATATCATTCTCCTTACAGATCTGATGACCCGCAGTTTAATAATAAAAAAGGTACATCACGAGATCGTACATGGGATCATCTATTCATTTCAAAAATACAATTACACGTCAAAGTTTCCTTCTGTCGAGTAGCTCATCTCACTGTATGTATCTACAAATAAATCGTCAGTTTATGGGTAACATCATGTTCCAGTTTGAATAGTTGTTTTTAATATTGTAAATTTTTATAGGAGCGTAAATTCTTTCAAATAGCGAAATTACAAATATTTAGCATATTGAATTAAATTTTGCGTACGCGTCAGATTAATCAAATCTACGTTTGTATATAATCAATATGCATCTTTATATGATTGTTTTTCTTTGTATATTTCTTTTTTATCTATTGTATTATCTGCCAATTTGTGAAATATACATATACATATATTATTAACTCAGAAAATGAAATATCACTCAGTAAATATTCTTTTTATATGTTGGAATGTCTCTCATTAAAAATTATCTTTCAGAAAGCGAATTAACGTACAATTAAACTTGTCAAATTTTGATGAGATTTTAGAACTATTACTAGTATAAATTGCTAAAGTAATAAATTAAAAATATTAAATTAATAAAAGACGCATGAGAAGGAGTTTTATGTAACTTTCCCGTCTTGGCGTTCTTTTATTATTGTTTCAAACAATTAACACATACGTTGTTAGTAATATAGCTATTCAGTACAACACATAACGCGTGCCACATTTAATTCTTAGGACATGCGTTTTGTTATGTAATCAGTGCAATTATTCAATGCATCCTTCGTTATAAAAGGAGATTACAGTGTATGTCGCATTTCGATATTTGGTACTAGCAAAGGCGAAAAAAATGTGCAAATTAATTATTTGTATAATTTTTGTTTTGATAAAATCCGGATAATGTTTAAATTATAATATAAAAGCGGAACAATTTGATTGTGAATTTGGATTTTTTTCATTAAATAAAATTGCGTATGTAAATGGAAAAAAACATACTTACTTTCCCACATCTTTTCCCTGTAACATATCGACTAGAAGATTTATACAGTATTTCTCTTTATTTACAAAAAAAATTTATAATATGAAAAATGTGTACTTACGTAAAATTGCTTAGTTCATATCCGAAATATACTAGTTTTCTTTTTTTTTAATGTAATTAAATAACGATATTTGAAAACAATAAAAAATGTTAAATCAGATGAAAGAAAAATATACACGAAAAAATAGATAGCGATTGATTGGTTATTTATCGAATGTCTAAATATAAAATGAAAGAATGAAATAGGTGTCCTCTTTCTTTATCTTTCCATTGTAGAGGACATTGTAATTCTGATGCAACATTTTATTTATTATGCCGCTGATAGTTCTCTCACATAATAGTATAGTAAATTATAGTCTCTTTTTGATACCTTGACGTCATGCAATGCTATTGTAGTGGCAGCTTAATGCCATTATAATATTGAGGAGGGACATGTAATTAGTATAGGGAGAATATGCTTGACTGCTTGACATATTATGTTGTCCACAAAAATTAACTTGTACAAAAGTATGTGAGATATAAAGCATCAATTCGACCCTGGCACGTCAATGCTTCAATGATAAGTGGCGCAGATATTACATGTGTTTAGAACAATATTTTCGTATTACATTTGTCGGTAACGTAAAATAATACAAAGTATATTGCTATTGCACATGAAACATACCGTTTGTGCCACGTAATATGATGACGTATAACTGTATCTGTAATAATGATACATACAAAATATTTATCCCTTCGGGAGATAAATCGTGAAACATCGTTGATAGTGTTGAAGCACCAGCGTCGCGGTATTCGTAATGAATTATGTACCAAATGTGACGACAATACATGGGAGCATATTATTTTATTTTGATGCGCGTGTGTGATTGTGCCTTTGGTCCTTAGGTCAGATAGGCTCTAGGCAAGTCTATTAAACGTAGTATAACAGTCATTATAGATAATAATTTATAAACTTCAGATAGCATAATCATTATATCTTTCAATATATTATACATTAATAGAATAGCTTATTTAAATTTTGTTGTTTTTTTTAAATATATTTATATATTATATGATTTTCCTTCCTTTCTTTCTGCGCTCATTAAAATTGTGTCATACACTGAAAGCTAACATCGGCTTAGATATTAAAACGAATTCGCATCGCCCACCCTAAACAACATAATCCCTACATTGTAACGGGTTTTTTTTAGATGTTATTCCAGTTTACATTGGTTCACGTGAATGACAACGTTGACAGTATAACCGCATCGAGCTTACAATTAACGAGCATGTAACATTTATTTAGGGACTCGCTATATAAATAAAATACTCCTGTTATAGCACCTTACAATTATTACAATCCATAGTACATTTATTATATAT